AAGAGACTTCCTCAAGCAGAATGGCATCAGAACCATGCAGTGGCCTGCCCTCAGTCCCGATTTAAATCCCATTGGGTACCCGTGGGACGAGATTCAAAGACGGCTGAATGACGTCCTACCAAGGCCGACAACTGCAACTGAACTGCGTCAGGCGTTCCTCAGAGTGTGGGCTCAAGTGCCATTCATTCGACGTTGCACGGCAGTCATCAATGCACTTTGCGGATACACGAGACACTGACTTGTGATGCCATTTTCTCAAGAAACTTGTGTTGTGTTTCACTTTCAGAACAATTGACACTTTAATTTCAACCTTGATGATCAGTCTTGCCAAGTTTCATCTTTTTTTATTTGTCTGAAAGTATGTTTACAGTGTTTGGACAAATAAGGTTTCTCATATGTCTATCCATTTTGACGTTTGCTGACACGAAGTATTGTTAATAGCCAGAAGACAGGAGTCTGAAAAAATAATGAATTCTTTATGTTTAGATTGTTTATTTATATATTCTAAAACGGTTAAAAAGGCCTTTGATTCAGCAGTAAAAATGGATGATTTATCAGGTAATCGAGTTGATAAAGTTCTGGATCCAATGATAGTGGCGCTGGCAACAGCATCATAAGTGCTTAACTGATTATATTCGTGTTGATATTGTAGTTGATGAGTGTCAGATTTCTTTAGTTTGGATAAGGTACCATTTGCCAAGGAGGAGAGGAAATCAGGCGGAAAGGAAATATATTTTCAAGTTTAATATCGGCAGCAGAAATAAAAGGTTTTATTCGTATTCCGAGAGGCGGAATAAGAGAGGACTTCCTACTATACAGGTTCTCATAAAGAGGATTAAATACACAGTTTTATGCAGGGTGAGACTGATTAGAATATAATGTTGTGATGTACTGTGGAGATAGTTTAATACGGCGTTATTTAACTGATGGCTCATCTGCCTCAACATACAGACTGTCAATGGGAGAAGTTCTGAAAGATCCAAGGCAAAGCCTTGGACGCTGGTGATGTATAGGATCGAGTAATTTAAGGTTTCTTTTACAAGCTCAACCATAGATGATGGAGCCATAATCGAGCTTAGAACGGATAAGTGAAGGAGGGTCGTTTGTCTCCTCCCCACTTAAAATTAGAAACAACCTTTAATAAGTCTAGTGCCTTCAGACATAAGCTTTCAAATATATAATATGTGGTAAAAACGTAAGGTGATGATAAAACAACTTTAATTGGAGTTCCACCTAAATGTAAATCTGGGTCCCTATGTGGTTTGTATTTTCGACAGAAATGAATGCAATTAGTTTTAGACTCCGAAAACTTAAATCCGTTCTGCTTTGCCCGATCATTGATTTTATTCAGACAAAGTTGCAACTGTCTCTCAATCGTGTGCATATTTTTACCTTGACATGATACATTAAAATCAACAACAAACAAAGACCCGTCAGCATCGATTTACGTAATTGTGATGTGATGGCATGCCTCAGGTGCAGGCTCGATTATATAATATATTAGAGTGCGGCGTTAAACAACAAAGAAATAATAGCGGCAATTGTGGTGCTATGTTTGACATCCCCCATATTGTTACGAGGTAACAGATGATCTATTCACGATAGAAGGATAAAACAATTGCTGTTGTAGAGGCTTACACAAACACTTGACAATATGATGCAGATATAGTACAACGTAAATAGAGGTTATCACGCGAGTGTGTTTGGGGATGGTAAATATCCTGCATTAGGAATAAACATTGTATTTAGCGAGCCTTGGCGAGCTAAATACATAGTGTTTATTCCTAATACAGGATATTTACCATCCCCAAACACACAAGCGTGATAACCTCTTTATCATATAATGTCATTCTTTAATTCTGTGCTTCAAAATCGCTTTCCCTCTCTCACATACTTAACCGAAACATTGCGAGTTTTTCTGGAATGCGAGCATTAATATTTATTACGTCACAGGGTAAGTGATGTGTCAGTCGGACAGTGACAGTACCCAATATAGTTCCAACTGAAATCTGTTTCTTATACAGTGGCGAAGCAACATATACGCAAAACAAAAATTGTTTTTAATTGCCTTTCGCGGCAATCCATCTGTCTGTCCGCTAGAGTAACTGCCCTTTGTCAAAGGGAAGCTACTCTAACCCTAGTCTATGAGACGTCACGGCCACGGTCAGTCGTTGTTGACAGTCGGTCTGTCCTGTCATAACGTTAAGAAGTGTAGTCAGATGTACACACAGCGACAAAACGAAACAAGGTAACAATTCAAACATATTTCGGACAAATCCAACTATTTTAATTTGTGGAGAAGGTTTCAAGCCGCAGAGGTCTACAAGCACAGATATGGCTACTGATCCCGCTTGGCTAGGCCTCGTGCCCCCGAAAAATTGTTTCGAAATTTATATCTCTAAAGTTGCCCAAACTTATAAAATGCCTTAGCTACGTCACAGTTAGAGACTGAATTTCAGTATATTAGACTGTTCTTTTGATAATGATAGCAATTATCCCTGTAGTTTATCCAGATTCCCGATGGTTAATTCTGACTCGATCCCCGAGTGATGAGGGCGACGCCATGTTTGTTTATAAACAGTGAAAGTAGTCCCTACTTTACCTTTGATATTTGCATCTCTCTCCGCAAATGACCCCAACGGATATCGTTTTTATCCGTTGGCTTTATCCTGCCGAGAAACCTACCCATTATATGATGAACATGAATTCGTGAAATATATTTAAAACACGCTTACAGACGCAAGTCTGTTTGAGGTTGCACGCCACAGTCGGCAGTATTCTCGCTGTATGAGTGAGCGAGTATGGTTTTATGCCAATTTTAGCAATATCACGGACATCGGAAGCCTTTGACTGTTGGACCTGTGAAGATTCCGGGGTAGAATAGGTCTTCAGCAACCCATACTTGCCGTAAAAAGGCGACTAACGGGATCGGGTGGTCAGGCTCGCTGACTTGATTGATGCATGGCATTGATCAAAATTGCGTGGATCGATGCTTAAGATATCAATCACTGAATTATCTGGTCCAGACTCGATTATTTACAGACCGCCGTCATATAGCTGAGTGCGGCGTTAAACAACAAACCAACCAACCTTTGACTGTTGTAGTCGGGCTAATAATGGGGAACCAATGATTCATCCATGGTTACAAATCGCTAAACAAAATCAGCTGGGGCTGCTTGTAAAGGATTCAATTTCACACGAGAGATGATGCATCTAGAGTATTTCTAATCAGGAGTAAAAAGCCGTGGACCCCAGCGTGCTGAAACCTGCGTCATGCCCTGTTAATTTCTCAGAGTGTTGTTTCACATTAATATGAAGGAAATCATTCTCCAGAATCTAGAGTTTTTAAAGCTATTGATTCCAGCGACAAAACATGTTTCATAAATTGATTCAAACGACAAAACATGTTTCATAAATTGATTCAAACGACAAAACATGTTTCATAAATTGATTTAAACGACAAAACATGTTTCATAAAAAAATGTCGCGGAATTTAGGTTTTTACAAAAGTTGAATAGCAGATTACTTTTTAATATTGAAACAATGTCAGATAACAACACATATAAATTTTTAAAGGCCAGTGTTGAAACTGTCTGTACAATTTAACGAAGCAGCCTGAGATCCTCCAAAATTCAATATTGACACAAAGTCTTGGTCTGGGTTGTCGTCTTTTTGTTTCTTCCCAAGACAGTTCAATTGAAGTTGGTTGTTTCTCCATGCCTGTGGACTTCTACATCCTACGACCAACTCGCTGTTTCAAATGTCAGGAGACACGTCAAAACAAGTTCTGAAATTCTTACTCACCAACATGAAACAAACAAGGTCACAGTTCCACCATCAACCAAAGAAAAATCCACGTCAACAGCAACAGAAACACCCCCAAACGCTGTGGTAATAAATTATGTTTACGTTCCCAAAAAGAATTTCAAACTGAACAAGTGTCAAAGGCACTTAACGATCCTGTGTTACTCGACAAGTATGGGGTCCTGGAAATATGGATACGATGTATCATCATACATGATCATACAAGTGAACACTCTCCCTAAAAGAAAGTTAGAAGTCTATCCCCTGTTACTCCACCTTCATGAGTTATATAACTAATTTAATGCAGTGGAATTACATGAGTCTTGGGACCGATCTTAATGCAATACACTTATTAATACAAGAGCATAAGCATTCTGTCTCCAAGAGACGTATCTTAAGCCTTGTCTATATGCATCCATTTACGCTGACTTGGTTGATGCATGTCTTTTCGGGGTTTTTTTTGTTTAACTTCGCATAATATGGCGACAGTCTGTAAATAGTCGAGTCTGTACCAGACAATACAGTGATTGACATGCACCACCCAAATGTAACTCCATAGGTGCAGCCTAGTTCGGCAAGGGTTAAAACTGGACTTTACCCGTGAAGATCCGGGGAAGAATAGGTTTTCAGCAGCCCATGCTTGCTCAAAAGGTGACTCTGCTTGTCGTAAGAGGCGACTAACGGGATCGGATGGTCAGGCTCGCTGACTTGGTTGATGCATGTCATCGATCCCATTTGCATGGAGACCCGTGAAGATTCCGGGGTAGAATAGGTCTTCAGCAACTCATGCTTGCCGTAAAAGGTGACTCTGCTTGTCGTAAAAGGCGACTAACGGTGTCGGGTCATCAGGCTCGCTGACTTGGTTGATGCATGCCATCGATCCCAATAGCGTGGATCAATGCTCATATCAATCACTGGATTGTCTGGTCCAGACTCGATAATTTACAGACCGCCGTCATATAGCTGGAATATTGCTGAGTGCGGCGTTAAACAACAAACCAACCAAAACCAATGTTACGTAAAGTGAAATCTTTTTATGGTTGTATACTAGTTTTAAATAATATTCTGTGATCTTCTAGTTATTTTACTGTCCTTTGTTGACAAGGTTTTATTGTTTATATGTTTCTATTATGTATAACTTTTGTTAGTCACGATATGGCGGAAATACTGCCGATGTGACTATATATTTTAACTCACTCACTCATTGAATGCTCTCGCTCGCCCATTGCGTTCATCTGCGTTGATCAGCTGAATCTAAATCAACTCACTTGACACTTCTCCCTCAAAAACAACGTCGTCCAGTTTACATAATCAAGTTGTGAGCGCATGTTCGAAAAAACAGAAATGACGTCAAGAAAGAACAATGTTTTGTCGTAAATAAACACGCGCTTTGTTCTTCATTGTACCCTGCAATAAAGATGTAACATGGTTACACGTAATACGACCGTCGGGCTACCACAGCAAAACAATAATGCTGTAAATTAACATTCAGCTATGCGTAGATTTAGAGTCGATAACGACTGTGTTAACGTGAATAAAACAAGTGCCATCTCGGGATACATAAAATCTAGCTTAATGCCGATGGGACATGTTCAGTTGGAACAGGATTTCTGTCTGTCTTTTGTCAGTCAAGTATATATTCTGACGGTAAACGCCGAACTGAACACGATACATGTGAATGTTCAAAGGTAGAATGCTTCATCTTATCAATTCCAGGATTCACAGAATACACCTTCTATGTATCTATATCGCCTTTGCTGGCGCCAACGAGAAGACCTGCTCTTCTTTAAGTCGCCTACCTGTGACAGAAAATTCGAAACTAAAGGGTGCCGTTATTGAAAGTTTTACCACAACAGGCCTTGCTAGCTGTGCAAAAGAATGTCTTCTAAGAAGCATGTGCAGGTCCTACAACTTTCAGCTTGATGACGGAACATGCGAGCTCAGTAGTGAGGATGGCCCAAACACCGATGGATCAATTTCTATGGTGACAGTACCACGCTTTGTGTTCTCAGAGTCCAAAGCCTGGCCACAGGTGAGAGTAGCCCAATGATTAATAACTGTTTCATGTACACAAAAGTTTTTTTTACACATATGCTCCTCGGCAACTCTGTTTCTTCTGCAGGACAAACGTCTATTTCTGGTAAAAGAATTTACGAAATGTGTGAACTATTTCTCACCAAATAATACAAACACAACACTCAACTGTGGAATTTACAATTTGGAAGTGTTTTGTTATGTATAAATAGCGGTGAAAAAACGATAAGACATATTCAGTCACTATATTACTATGTTTAGTGATGAAACTACGTCAACATGACACATATGTAAACACCAGAAGAGAACATGCTTACCCTAATCTCAAACACCTGGTGTTATCACTGATTTTCCGTGATTTATTCAAAAAATTATCACCGATATTGTATCTTTTATACCCAATGGCGTTGACAATATATAGTTCACAAAAATCAGTGCGCGTGCAAATGAAGACATAGAGAATCCCACCCAAGTTTTTTTTATATCGAATATATCAACGAGTGTTGATATATTCGCTATCAAAACACACGAGTGTGAGATTTTATTTATCATCCAACATCATTCTTCCGACATTTTCAGTTTGAAGACAGTAATAAGTAGTGTCTTTAAGTGTAAAAAGTACTTTAACAGCATCATTACCAGGCCAAAGATTTTCGAAACGATCGTTGCCCGAAATCTATCGTAAAATTATCGTAAGGAAATTGTAGGCTATCGTAGCTTATTTCTGAAACTATCATAGCCCTAAGATGTCTTAAGTTTGTCGTAAATCTTAGATAGCCCCATACCTGTCGTAAGTATATTACATCTTTATTCAAGATGGCGACATACTTTGCCGTAGAAATTTTGCCAAACAAATAGTCTGCTTTAGGTTCAAACATTGACATTTCATTTTGTTGACACTTTGAAAACACGAAGAACGCATCAAAGATTTTACTGAGAAATGTCCCTAATCGCGACAGCGATTCACATAACTATGGAGCCGAGTCCATGCTGAAGAAGTGTGAAAAAACATACCTTTTCGATAATTTGTTGAGGATAAAAACGGGTGTCGGCATTCTATAGTAATGACCGTGACCTTATTGATAACTCAGGGGCAGCTTATCTTATTTCATACTTTAGTTGAGAGTGATTTCCCTTTGTATTCGCCCGGCGAGACTTTAGCGCAGTGTTCCGCTGTTATTATCCCCCGCCCAACGAAGTTGGCGGGGGATAAAGAAACGGGCTCCGTCCGTCCTTTCGTCCGTGACGTTTCGTTTCCGGAGCATAACTCAGAAACCGTTAAATATTTTTTCATGAAACTTTTCATGTCTGTCAGGTACATGCTGAACTGGTTCTTTTTGCTTTTTAGAAATTTTAGAAATTTGGCTAACAAGGTGGACTTAGGTTCTGTGAGGGTAGGGATCGTTTCCGGAGCATAACTCATAAACCGTTCAATATTTTTTCATGAAACTTTGCAGGTCTTGTCAGGTACATGCTCTACTGTTTTTTTACTATTTATATTTGTTTGAAATGTATATTTTGTATTTTTCCAAGGCAATAAGTTGAACTTTTAGAAATTTATGATTTCTTCTTATAAATGCCAAAAAATTCAACTTGATGCCCATTTAACCCCGTTTTTTTAAAGTTTTTTGTATGCCTACATTTAGTGTTTGTCATCGTTTGGAGGTATCTCCCGTAGTAGGGGAAACTGTGCATGCCTTCTACCAAGTTGTCAGTATGTGCCTCAATAATGGTTGAGGGTAAATTTCGTTTAGTGACTTCATTATCAAATCCATCATCCCCACTTCTGCATTGATTATGACAGAGATGAGTGTGCGATAAGATGGCATACTTCTCTATGAAACTTTTTACAGTTTTCAGCACATGTTGATATGAAGACTTTTGTGCTGTAGAGTTTTAGGATACACATTTATAATATTGTCTTGTTTGTTTTTTCACTTATCATATCACATGGTATGACCATATTGTTAAAAAGCCACAACATAAAATGTGTGTGGCAGCCTAGTTCCTCGCAGTGAGTGCCGGTTATGACCATAGTCACATATCACAAACTAATACCATTTTAGGTTTCTTAACCAATATTCCATGTACATATTATTACGAGTCAAAATGTGACTTGTAATGTTTTTTCGTTCTCCCGCCCCAATGAATTCATCTTGAGTTTCCATGCTCGTTTGGGTTAAAAATGTCGTCAAAAATATCATATTTTGAACATTGTCCAAAATTCACTTTCCAATATATTTTCGCACGAAACCTTTATTGAATGAAATGTACTGATCAATAAAAAATAGACATTTTCACCACATTAACCCTTGAATTTTGCATTGGACCGATTACGTAATAGTAAATGTTATGTAAGTGTACATTTCCCGTTTTATGTTAAAAAATATAGATACTTGAAACCATTCAGACATTAAAATCATTGTAAAGGATAGGGTCACCGGACAAATACTAGTAAATGACCCTCAGCAATGCTGTCAGACAAGCCAAAAGTCATCGAACTACGTTCAGTTAAAGATTTCACACATTTCCAATGTAGTTATTTCGCTCCTCAGCCAGATTTAAATTATATCAGACAAATCAGTTTATTAGGTCTACTTAATTTAAAAGGATAGAAAAGGACTACAATATATTTATATTCGCTTTTACTTGTGGCGTGTTCCATGACAACTTTACAATTCCTAAATTATCTCCCTCTGTGAACGTAAATTAGTGTAACTTTCAACTTAGGAAAAGAATTAGCGATCTTGACAGATAAAAAATAACTAAATCATCTAAATACAAATAGCATGATATTCCATGTATCATGATTAATGTTGGTGTTAACTCTGTACACTTTACTTTTGACATAAACACAGAAAAGCAACAGTATTGTGAAACTGACCCAGAATACTCACGTAACATCAGACTTGAACACGCATCTTAAATGTGAACGCCTGCTATTCAATCAAAGGTCTCGTAATAGAATAACGTCCCTTACTTTCGTCTTGGACTTTGTGTCTTTTTTTTGCACATTATTTCAATTCTAATAGCTATATTGTGGTAACACTACACTTATTGATTATAACATTTATTGGGTTTTAAAAATGGATTTGCATGGCAACCAAATGCTATTTGTGTTCGGGTAGTCATCATTTATCATAAGAACAAAACGTCTACATGTTGGACATACACTCTTCAAAAAAAGAAACGCACAGGTAGTATGTTGTTTATTGAACCTGACTACACAAAAAATCCGGTAAAAAATTAGATATATGTTATTGGAAAATGTTGGTGGCCTGATATTCCACAATCGGTGCGTAAAAACGCAGACATTGTCGATTTGCAATGTATTAAACTGCATTGTTTTCACACTTGTTCTTAAATGTCATGGAGGAAAACAGTAAGCATTATGCACGTGCAAGTTACGGCATTCGTAACTCGTGGTAGAGGCTATAAAAAGGCAAGCATAAATTGTCATTCAATTGTAAACATTTTTCAAGTTCGAAAATGCCGAGACTCAGCGCTGCCGATCGGAACATCGCCATACTACGTATCCAAAGAGGGGAATCGCAGTCTTCTGTTGCACGCCTTTTTAACATCCACCACAACACCATTTGGTCCTTTTGGACCGATACATACAGTTCAATTCCACTACAGACTGTCAAAAAACCGTCTGACCAAGAGTTACCACCTCTGCACAGGATCGCTACATTCGACTGTTCCACCTACGTCAACGGAGACTGCAGGACGCATCCCAGGTTTGAGGAGGATATCGGACGACCTGACTGTCAGGAACGATCTTCCCCCCCCCCCCCCCCCCCCACACACACACACATTGTGTACGTGAATTCGACACTATCGGTGGCGGTAGTGTCATGGTGGTGGGGGCATATCCTGCACCCACGAAGTCTTACTTGGTAGTGGTTCAGGGAAATTTGACAGCAAATCGCTACATGAATCAAATTCTTTAACCTCGCCTTCCAATCGCCAGACGGAGCTGTTTCAACAGGACAACGCCCCACCGAACACAGCTCGTGTCACGGTAGACGACCTCCATAATGCCAACATGAACGTCTTGCCCTGACCATCGGGATCTACAGATCTCAACCCCATCGAACACCTCTGGGATGAACTCAATCGACGTATACGTCGACGTCAGGACACGCCACAGACACCACTCCCACAACTGGCCGATGCGTTACAAGTAGAATGGCACAGAATTCCGTAGAACAGATTTCGTACACTTATCCAGTCAGTGCCGAGGCGATGCAGAGCCGTGATTGCTGCCCAGGGCGGTCACACAAGATACTGAGTTCAACGCAACCTTGTGGCCTTATGTGAACAGTTTCCAATGCTGTTGTACAAATACAACATATGACTATCGAGCTCCAAGATTTCATATTTGTATCTATGATATTAAATTAAATATATCGACTTTATTAGGAACAATAAATTTACTAAAAATCTACCTGTGCGGTTCTTTTTTTTAAGTATATAGGATTGCACGGAATGTCACTCAAACTTCTCCATGTTGTTATCGCTAGCAGCTGGGAAATCCCCGCTTTTTCTATCTCTTAACACAAATGAGTTCTCTGTCAGAGTTACGATAGGTATCGAAGCTCTGTGCGATCTGCGTCAGGTTTACGATAGTTTGAAAATCTATTTTATCTTAAACTTAAGATATCTTGTCTTTGAACGTAAGTTGTTGAGATTTATCTTAGCTAAGATCGTTTCGAAAATCTAGGCCCTATTTATTACTGTTTACAAACTGAAAATGTTGGAAGAATGAGGTTGGATGATAAATACAATCTCATCCGAGTGTCTTTTGATATCAAAACTCTGAGGCTTGCCCTTGGGATATCTCCTGTGGGAGCCAGTTTTAGATGATTAAATAAGGTATTGCAGAATTTGTTATAACAATAATGACTCTCTTTAGGAAAACGAACCTGAGCGTCTGAAGAAGAAACATTTCCTTTTCTATATATTTCCACAGATAAAATACTGATGTAGTCGTATTCAGTAACGGGTTTTTACATTTGGAAAACAGATAAATATTCCACGTTGTGTTTTGTCTGATTCTGTGTACCAATTTTCTAACTCCAGGGAATACTGGGTGGATGTAAAGATCACTCCTGTCCTAACAACACAATGTGTACTGAAACAGAGGAAGGCGGCCATGAGTGTATCCTTGCGTGTAGGTATACAGTTATTGACTTCAAAGTCTTGTGAGGGCTTTCTTCCGACGTTAACAATAAACAACATGAATAATGTCATCGTGGTATTATCTACGTACTTAGTGTGCCCGTGGGAAATCCGGGATAGAAACTCGATTATGTACACTCAGGCAACTAACACACAATCAAACTGCGTCTAAGTTATCAGTGTACGAGGATTATTTCGTTTGAAGACAATCCCTCGATGAAAGGTGTTATTGATGCAGCTTCTAAAAATAGAAAGTAAGTTAGGAACTTTGCGGTTATCTTATAATTAATAAATTATTTAATTAATATTATTCATGTAGAGCATGGAGTTCTCTCTCTCCCCCCCCCCCCCCCCCCCCCCCCCTAGATGACAAAGGAACTTAAATGACATTACAGATTCCTGAAGATCCGGGGTAGAATGGGTCTTCAGCAACCCATGCTTGCTGAAAAAGGCGACTACTATGCTTGTCGTAAGAGACGACTAACAGGATCGGGTGTGTCAGGCTCTCTGACTCGTTTGATGTGTCACCGTAACCCAATCGATGTTCATGATGTCAATCACTGGGTTGTCTTGTCCAGAATCGATTATGTACAGCCAGCCATCATATATTAGCTGGAATATGCTGCCTTGAACAACAAACATCACATACATTATATCGTTTGGTCCTGACAATCAAATAAAGTAAAATAATTTTAAATGTGTATTTATTCAGTTAATTTGTGAATTAGCTTTACGTGTTGATGTTTTAGACCCGTGAAGATCCGGGGTAGAATAGGTCTTCAGCATCCCATGCTTGCCGTAAAAGGCGACTATGCTTGTCGTAAGAGGCGACTAACGTGATCGGGTAGTCAGGCTCGCTGACTTGGTTGATGTATGTCATCGATCCCAATCGCGTGGTTCGACGCGCATGTTGTCAATCACTGGATTCTCTGGTCCAGACTCGATTATTTACAGGCCACAGTCATATAGCTGGAATATTGCTGAGAGCGGCGTTATTTTTCCATCACAAGGATCAATATTTCAAAGTTTCATCCTTAAAGGATCTTTTTAATATTAGTGTTCATTTAATTATTGAATTTTTAAAAGAAATTGAATTGTTCCTTAAATTTTGATTGATGTGTTTTGTATATAGTATAGTTTTTATAATTGGTAAAATAAATTTGATAACTGAGATTGTTAGTGGCTGTATCCTCGAAGGGGGTTGAAGTAGTGTAAAATTATTGTCCCCCTGAGAGGGTATGTAAGACCACGTCTTTCAAAGTATTTTTATTTTGGCCACATTTTTAATAGTAGTATATATGTTCGTTTACCTTTGGCTAAATTTGTCATAATCGCCAACAGCTGGAGGGATGATGTAAATCCGACTGGGGTCCTTGCAGGTAGCAAAAGTACTGTAAGTCCCCATGGACCCTAGCATGGTGGTCTACCTTCAGCTGCTGGCGATCTATAGCCTGTTTTTATCTTGTATCGTTATGTATAGTGCTATTCTCTTTTATCATTCCGTACTAGTTTTATATCTTTTTCTGTGATGAATCTAGTAATTTTACTGTCCTTCGTTGGCAGGTTTTTATACAAGTTTCAATATATGTATTATGCTTAATTATTGATAGTCACGATATGGCTGAAATATCGCCGATGTGACTTAAAATTTAACTCACTCACTCACTCACTCACTGAGAGCGGCGTTAAACAACAAACAAACAAACAAACGTGTAGATTTCATATTAGAAGGTTATGTGTTGCCATGAACATATTTCAGACTGCAGAGAGCCACCAACTGTTGAAAATGTCGCTCCTTTAATGATCAGACACTTCACTCCGATAAACCAGTCATTGAAGTGCAACGTTGGATATGTGCCTTGCGGAAATATGACATGTAACCCGGATGGAACATGGACTACGATGACGTGCATGCGTAAGTTGACAAAACAGGTTGAAACTTAAAAGTCAAAGAAATGATTGTAAATAAAGCCGCACATGATTCGTCAATTTGGTTTGTGGATATCATAGCGTGATAAATTCATCAACGTTTGGCAAGGCAACGTCGATTTCACTTTTATTTAACGTTGATTTCAAATTTAATCAGAGTTTCTCATGACAAAAAGCCACCTGCGTGCATATCTCTTCTTATGGCTTTGTAGGACATTTTAATAGTTAACTTCCACGTTAGTCATTACTATATGAACAAAGTCTAATGTGCCCCATGGCGGCCCATGGCGGGGGAAGGAGTACGGGTGGCCCAGTCGTAAAAAGGCGTGACGATTCCCTGTGAAGAGTTGCGTCCCTTGAGCAAGAAACTTATGATCGTGGGTTCGAATCCCAGTTCGCGAATATTCTGGTTCTAGGTTTTATCAGCACCATATACCCGTGCTCGCTGGTATCACCAAAGTGGAAAACCTGTAAGACCTGCATCATTTCGGGATTTCCTCTCACATTAAGCTGACACGCCGAAATATAACTGGAATACTGTTAAAAGTAGAGTAGAGAGGCAGTTACAAGTCTGTCTCAACGATCATAAATTGTGCCTTGAAGATCGGGGGTAGAATAGGTCTTCAGCAACCCATGCTTGCCGTAAATGGCGACTATGCTTGTCGTAAGAGGCGACGAACGGGATCGGGTGGTCTTGGTTGATGCATATCATCGTATCCCAATTGCGTGAATCGATGCTCATGATGTCAATCACTGGATTGTCTGGTCCAGACTCGAACATTTACAGACCGCCGCCATATAGCTGAAATATTGCTGAGTGCGGCGTTAAACAACAAACCAAACCAAATCATAAATCCTCGTAAACTGGTTTAAAAGTACAAACGTCAGTGTTTGTTTAGTCTCTTACACCTCACGGCAATAATCCTATTGTAATGCGCTGACGGCCTGGAATTAAACAAGACATAATAATGTGTTGTCGATTTCAAACAGTTGTGTCCGAGAAAGAAATTGTATGCCTTGACGCGCAGCCAAAAATATTCTCACACAAAGCTCCCATTACCGCCTCCAGAATATTAAATGGTTGGTCTCTTAACTGAAGATGAATAAACCACATTGGAAGACATCGAAGGTCATGTTCATTTGTTTTTCGCAAATTCTCATGAAGTGAAACAGTAACAACTCACTTGTCGTTTCAGCCGTGTCGAACTGTACCGAGGTACAGCAACTTAGTTCCACGTACACTGACGGAGAATACTGGCTGTACCCACGACAACTGAGTGGAGTTCGAGTCAAGGTGTACTGCCATGCAATGAATAGTACACCTTCAGAGTACATCTCGCTCCCTACACCTTATTTCATGGATTCCCCAAGGATACAAAATTACCACTGCAACGGAGAGTCCCCATCAGATAATTATCGTCTCGGATATTACGTCTTTTCAAAGTTTGGCTTGAACATTGAGGTGAGACACAAGCCTTTATCATGTGCAGTAGAATTGGCAATAAATGGTTTGTTAAATTATCCTGATCATTTACGAAGCCATGTGACCCGTGACGAATCGGGTTAGAAGAGATCTTCAGCAACCCATGCTTGCCTTACAGGCGCATATATACGCTTGTCGTAAGAGACGACGAACGGGATTTGCTTGTTACATGTCATCGTATCCAAAATGCGTGGATCGATGCTCATGATGTCAATCCCTGGGTTGTCTTGTCCAGAACCGATTATTTACAGCCCGCCGTCATTTAGCAAGAGTGAGTGTGGTGATTACGCCACTAACAGCAATACTCTGGCAATATCACTGCGGGGGACACCAGAAATGGGATGGAATATTTGCTGACTGCTAAACCAAATAAGTTTTGATCCAAGACTTGCCGTTTATCTGTGACCTCAAATTGTATTTGACATTGTATATCTGTCAAAATGTCGAAGTGTGAAACCAGCCACTTCGACTGGAAACTATCACAAGACAATCAAACTAATGCCTCTTTAAGGGAAGTGGGGGCACGGGGGGCCCAGTCGTCTAAGGCGCCGCGATTCGCTGTGTAGAGTTGCGTCCCTTGGGCGCGCCAGAAGCCCATGATTGTGGGTTCGAATCCCGGTTCGCCCCGATTATGTTTCTAGGTTTGTCAGCACCATACCCGTGCTCGTGGGATTCACCGAAGTGGTAAACGTCTGAGACCTGCATCACTTCGGGCTTTCCTCCCACATTAAGCTGACACGCCGCGATATAACTGGAATACTGTTAAAAGCGGCGTTAAACACAAATCACTCACTTTATGGGAAGTTTATAAGCCAGATTTGTATATATTACATTCCAGTACATAACCAAAGGAGATGCGCAATTGTCTTGACAATCCAGTGATTGATATGAGCATCGATAAAATTGTGATGTCAATCACTGGATTGTCTGGTTCATACATTTTTATTTTCCAGACCGCCGTCATATAGCTGGAATATTGCTGAGTGTGGCGTTAAACCACAAACACAAGATAAAGATAATAGGATTCGCTTGCTACTTCGCTACTGCAATTTCCACGCTTTCTAGCAATAACATGACAATGAACCATTCATCACAATGAGTCCGTTCAGGTAAAATCCTCCCAGTAGTTCTGTCTTGAAAGATATGACATGACACAAATACGGAAGCCTTTTAGGGCCATTTGTTTTTTTAAATTTTGTTCGATACTATCTTGAAATTTCAAGATACTAAGTTGAAATTTTAAGATACTAAGTTGAAATTTCAAGATAATAAGTTTTTAACATCCTAAGATGTAAAAATCGTTTGAAGTGAAAATCTTGAAATATCAACTTAGTATCTTGAAATTTCAAGATAGTATCTTGAATTTCAAGATAGTATCGAAAAAATTAAAAAAACAAATGGCCCTAAAAGGCTTCCGTACACAAACGTTATGGGTACATAAATTGCAATTTTGCATTAGAATTCACTGTAATGAAATACTGTAAACGACGTTTATAAGAAACTGAGCACTTATTTAAGTTCGTTTTAGACGAAGTTCGTTGTAAGCATATATACACCACTTTTACAGCAAATGGCCGGGACCACAACAAAAGTTCATGTAAGCGTGTTCGTTATGAACGTAGTTGACATTCATTTCACAGACAATGGAGATTGAGAAGAGCGATCGTGTCTTCTACAACATGACAGGCACCCTAACTGTTAAAGTGGGTGAAGTCAGGGACTGCTACACCCAACCAGAAAGTTCGTGTAGCCCAAAAGGTCGGGGTGTGATGGACCTGAGAGGCACTGGGCTGGCTCTAAACGAGACAGTAAGTTTTCTTAAAACAAGAGCTTGTAGCTTCCGAATATTGACAGTACTGCTGTATCCTTTGTTATCTGAAGATCCGGAATGGAATAGATCTTCAGCAACATACGCGTGCTGCAAGAGGCAACTATGATTGTCATAAAAGGTGACTAACGGGATCGGGTCAGGGGTCAGGCTCGTGTTGATGCATGTCATTGTTTCCCTATTACGCAGATGATGTCAATCACTGGATTGTATGGTCCTGACCCGATTATTTACAGAACGCCGTTATAAAGCTGGAATATTGGCTGAGTGCGGGCTTAAACAACAAACATTCAAACAAATTGTATACAGCTTGAACCGTTTCAACATTTCAACGGATTATTCAACACATCAGGACAACAAAATAAACGTGTTCAGGATAAAACCCGTTTGTCAACATTCCAACAAAAAACAATATCATTTAGTCGGAATAGTACAGTGGACAGCCTTGACAAAAGATTTCTTATGATAATGGAAGTTGTTTTGTCGCATTTACATATTTGAAAGTAAATACACTTTTGTAAATATAAATCGTCAATAACCAGTCTCAGATATAAACCGATTCAAGATTAAGATTACAATAGCGGGGGAAATTATTTTGAGTGTCACCAGGTGTTCACGAAACGTGACGCCACGGTGATGCCATAGTTTGTCCTTGTAGTTGACGTTTCTTGAACTTATTCTTTCAGGTAAAATGGTTTCATTATAGACAGGAACCTATAGTGACAAGGTCCTCAAATGACCAGTTGATTGAGGTTCGATGTGGAGGATGGTGCGGCGGATGCCAAATAAGCGGTCCTGCTCTCCTCTCAGTGGTGGATTCAGATGGTTAGTATACCAATATTAGAAGTGACATATAAGTAAGCAGCATTACAGTTATGTCACAGAAGCCAACAAACGGGTCGTGACAAGCCGGTGACTGAAAGCATAAACAACGAAACGCCATCGGGCAACAGTGACAAAACGTTCACAAACAACCTGACCTGACCAACCTGTTGAGTCAGCACTTATGAGATACTCGGGCCAAGTAAAAGGATCCTAGTCGCACAAAACCATCAACAGTCATGGGTGCGGTCGTTTGTTGTGAAGATTCCGGGGTAGAATAGGTCTTCAGCAACCCATGCTTGTCGTAAAGGGCGACTAACGGGATCGGGTGGTCAGACTCGCTGACTTGGTTGATGCACAGTCATCAATCCCAATCGCATGGATCGATGCTCGTGATGTCAATCACTTGATGTTCTAGTCCAGACTCTGGTTGTAACAGATAACATGTGAATCAGTGAGGGAGCCAACATTTAATATTGTTGAAGTTCACTTCTTTGGAGATTCAGGATAAGCCTTGGTCACAAGTAATACAAAAGGCGTTTTCACGGGTGAGGTGACAGTAGTCGTACCTCAACGGTGCAAAAATGTTGAAAATACAGTCAGTAATTTTGTTCTTGTACAAGAGTTGTAACAGTTTAAGGCAGCAATAGATAACAGTATCAGTATAGAGAGCATCATATATTGGTGTGTTTGGGAACGGGGTTGTTGCAGGCAGAATATGTTTTTGGTCACTACTTCAAGACACGTACATTATCTCAGACAGGAGCCTCAAATTGTTCAGTTATTGTTCAGAACAGTTTTCCAAGGCCCTGCTCCACAAGGCGATCTTTGCGGTACGTTTGTCTTAAATCTTTGTGAAAGTATGGGAGTTACTATCGACTTAGCCCTAAGATCGCTTTGTGGAACAGGGCACATGTCGTCAATATGTTTTGTGTAGAACATAAACACAGAATCCTCAATTTGATCGGTTCTGAAGTTCACATTGTGACATAGGCCTTGTAAGCTTTGCATAACTTGAATAATGACTGCCATGACAACTGCAGTAGACAGAAACAGTAGCAAATAAATCAATAACTGTGGATTGTGCACAGGGTGATTACAAGGTGAATCAGTACAGAGTAGTAAGTAAGACAACGGTACAGTTATCCCATTGGCGACTATATGGATCAGGTGGTCCGGCTTGGTGACACGGTTGAAGGTGTGTCATTGTAACACGACTGCATGGGATATTGCTCATATAAATAATGTGCTTGTCCAGTCCTCACTATTGTGTACAGGCTGCTGCCACGGCTCTGTTGGTTGGTTGGTTGGTTTGTTATTTAACGCCGCACTCAGCAATATTCCAGCTATATGACGGCGGTCTGTAACAAAACGATCCCGTCAGTCGCCTTTAACGACAAGCTGTAGAATTGTGATGTTAAACAAAAATACAACAAACAAGTTAGCAGCGATTGAGATTTTTGCAAAGAAAAACAGAAATAGTGATTGTTCGTTTTGTTTTTATTCACCGCCACGAAATCCGTCCTTCCATTCTTCGATCCGTCCATCCGCTTCTCAATGAGGACACATTTGTCACAATCTCAAATCAGTTTAAAGATGTTGCCTTAAATACATGTTTACAGAGCCATGAGCCCTGCTCAATGATTTTCAATTTACTGCGTGAAATGGGGACAAGTGTTCTCAGAAACAACTGAAGTTACATGAATGAAAGTTTGTATGCTTATCTGAGAGATACTCACCAAGAATGTTGTCGAAAGGTGGTGTCGTAGGTTATTGTTTCACACAGGGACGGCCTATGATCCCTGTTTTTTTACTTAGTGTACGGTGTCTGCAATTGGGACAAGTTTTCTTAGAAACTACTGAAATTACATGAATGAAAAACGTGTTAATCTCAGAGAATATATGCTCATCAAGAGTTCTAAATTGCTTCTATACCATGTTTATTCAAGAGAAGAGGCCTTTTGTGTGTATTAATTTCAAATTTAATCAGTTTCTCATGGCAAGAAGCCGCCTGCGTGCATATCTCTTCTTAAGGCTTTGAAGGACATTTTGATAGTTAACTTCCACGTTAGTCATTACTATATGAACCAAGTATAATGTGCCCCATGGCGGGGGAGGGGTACGGGTGGCCCAGTCGTAAAAGGCGTGACGATTCTCTTTGCAAAGTTGCATCCCTTAAGCAAGAAACTTATGATCGTTGGTTCGAATCCAAGTTCGTTACTATTCTGTTCCTAGGTTTATCAGCACCATGTACCCGTGCTCGCTGGTATCACCAAAGTGGAAAACTTGTAAGACCTGCATCACTTCTGGCTTTCCTCCCACATTACGCTGACATGCCGTGATATAACTGGACTATTGTTCAAATCAGTCTTAAACCCAATTCACTCATTCATGGCGGGGAATAGTGATAACACCGTTTTCTTGTTTCACAAACCATGATCCCAGCTTTGACAAATTGTGTGGATTAATGTCAAAGCAGCAATCCTTTTACTAACAGGATCTTACTATACTGTTATTGTTTTTGCAGCTCCTCTGGAAACCACGGCTATTACCCCATCGTGTGATGTTTAAGTGACAGAAAGTCGCGCGCATATATGGCGTCCAGGAATCACAGTTACGAATAGTAAGCAACCCCATGGATATGTTTTTTTTTAAGGTTTTATCCGAATAAGACCGCCACCGCAGCACCTTTTTTTAAACGCGCTTTGAACATCCCAGTGATATTGTGAAACACCCTCGTGTGACGTTTAAGCTTGATCTCGCTTTATTCGTGTTGATTGGATACCCGTGTCCTCGCTGAGGGCACACTGGAATTTGTTTTTTGTGAATAAACATTAACCCAACGTTTGCGAGATTTGCTTTTTATGAAACCAAACAATTGTGTCACACACATCAAATTTGCTTTACATTCCATATCAGTTCTTCATAAAGTACTACAGACTGTAAATATATACTCGAGCAGTATCTATTTCCTATCTACGACTATGGATCCCCATCAGCTGGATGCACACAACAACCTTTTCGAATTTCAATTTGATTTAACATAATGGATCAGCATTGCGAAATGAAGACAGCTGAAAATTCCTGAACTGATGTCGAGACCGACGTTGGATGCTCCATCTATGCCATTTTTTAACTGTTTCTGAAAGTTTTCGTTTATGTACACGACTGCACGATCAGATCACACACAATAAACATTAAGCATACGAAAACTAGGTCGGTTATCTTTTTTTATTCTGATGGTAACCTTAACCGTCATTAGAAGCTGCCACTGACACGATATGCAAGCAGACTGAAGGTTGTTGATGTCCACTTCTTCAGTATAATGTAAAACTGTGAACATGAAACACTATGGTTTCCCTTTTCCAAACTGGTACAAACAGAATGTAAATTCAGCTGGAAAATCAACAAAGCCGAGCCACGTTGATACCGAGGGGACCGACTGTAGGTCCGAGATTCAAAGAGCGCAATTGACTTTCAATGATTCTTGCAGTTGTTCTAGTAATAAATATTAATCTTCAATTACCTTCAGTTGAAGATTTCAAAAATAAGGATCTTGAGCTTTTCTGTTGTCTTGTTTGACACACAATAGCAGGAACATATTGCTATTGAGTATTCATAGAATTGTCAACAGTGCCCATGTTAGGCCACATAGAAATATTCATGCGCAACCAGATTTGCACCCAGTTTCGGTTGTGTCTGGTTACGAACGAATTTTATTAGTTATTTGCACTGAAACACATATTTAACACCAGTAATAAATACAGTATCACACCCATTCTCGTTAAGATACTTGTGAACTTTCTGAGGTATCTGACTTCCCTTCCGTTGAGTCAGATACCGTAGAAAGTCCACTCGTATCGTATTCTCTATATTTACTATATAGCCCTGTCATTTGTTTAAACCAAGAACCTTTTGATTTTCTGTTTGCTCCATACCCCCTTCCATAATTTGATCCATGTATTCACAATCCGTACTAGTGTTTCCCAGCTTCAAGACTTTTAACATAGTTTCTCAAAAGATGAGAAAAACAAGTCTTCTGGACCCGCAACATGAAAATTATGTTCCGAGGATTTTCTCTATCTTGTTCGATACAATCACAGCCCGGTAAATGCGTCATCTAGTCACATACATGTTCTCCTGTATTTCCAAAGATTCTATTGTGTACAACCCTATACACTCAAATGCATTAGATAAACGAAAGTGAGTGTACCTTTCACAGTCATGTCTGTTCCATATATTACGACTTCTGTGGGGTCAAAGCAGCAAATGTGGTGTCATAAATGGCCGCCTCCATGTTGTTACATGGTAAGTCCACAAGCACACGAAGTCGGTGCAGTTTAAATTGTAATTTCATGAGTAAAACGTAGTACATGTAGATGTGATATTGGTATCTTCTTCATAGCACTCATTAACAGCCCTTAAAAGCTGGAAAATCTTGTAACCACGAGATTCTAGCGAGATTACACAGAAGATCTTCTAAGAATGGCCGCAAAATCGCAATAAAAGGGCCAAAGGGTATCCAAGTTGATATCAGTTAAATTCTTTCCTCTAGATTAACAAATCATTGAATGTGAAACGCGAAGAGGACCAACAGATCCGAGATTGGACGGAACACTGAGAGTTTCCTGATGTTCCTCAGCAAATCCAAAGCACGACATCATCCTGGCAACATCAACGTCTGGGATCCACTCTTGTGGCCACTGAAAGAGAATGAAATGTGATTATACTCTAAGTTGCAGTTGTGACTACGATGCATTATTCAGGTTGTATAACACACTGGGAGGAAGTTGGTGTCACATGTACTACGTTTTACTCATGAAATTACAATTTCAACAACACACACTATATATGCTTATTGTAAATAGCAATTTCACTTACTAAAACGTAGTAGATGTGATATTGGTAGTACAAAGGCTGTCGGTCTACATGATTTTAGTGGTGTTGCCGTTGCTGGATGCAGGCCCTCTCAGGTAACAGTTAGTTTCTGAAGGTTGATGCGTTTGACCAGTTTCCCGGACTGAGAATATCAGCAAGGGAGGCTCCCTTAGCAAAGGCCTTGGATGTAGAAGCGCTTCACTGTCAATCTCTGCTATGCTCATCAGGTTGGTGGCCCATCTACATGTAGCCAGGGTTGCTGATGAGACTGCTTTGTGAGGCTTTACAAACCTCAGTAAAAGGCTAGATCTGTCCTAAGATATCCACGAGGAACACCACAATAGGTAGGCGTGAAGGCAGGTAAGATCAGTATCTTCCTTGAAAGTTTCCGGTATCAAGGACTTAGGGCTTATACTTGTCCCATTGACATTAGTTGATCTGGTGAGATGAAACTCAAGTAAGTAGTTTGGAGGCTCTGGTGGATGAAGTCAATAACATATTGGTTAGATTGGTATTGTAGCCCTGATTAGACATGAAGAGTAACACAATGTCCTCATTCCAGGTTGACGAGGTTTTTGGTTATATGTAGCAGGCATTAGTTTCTTAACCATGGAGTGTTGTCCTACACTGCCGCCATCAATGGTAGGGTGAAAGGCAGAAGGCAGACAAACTGATATACGTTTGTTAATAGTCCTGTACTGGCTGTTATACACTCTTCAAATAATGAAACGCACAGGTAGTGTGTTGTTCATTGAACCTGATTACACATAAAATCCCGAATATAAATTGGATATATGTTATTGGACAACCTGTTCGTAAAAACGCAGCCATTGTCCATTTGCAATGTCTTAAACGGCATTGTTTGGACACTTGTTCAAAAATGGCATGGAGGAAAACAGCAAAGCAAAATGCACGTGCAAGTTATGGCATTCATAACTTGTGGTCGTGGCTATAAACAGGCAAGCATAAGCCAATAATTTGTCATTCAATTGTCAACATTTTTCAAGTTCGAAAATGCCGAGACGCTGAGGCCCCTTGAATATTCGGGATAGAATAGGTCTACAGCAAACCCATGCTTGCCGTAAAAGGCAACTATGCTTGTTGTAAGAGGCGACTAACGGGATTGGATCGTCAAGACTCGTTGACTTGGTTGATGCATGTCATCAATCACAATTGCGTAGATCGATGTTCATGATGTCAATCACGGATTGTCTGATCCAGACTCGATTATTTACAGACTGCGGTCATATAGCTGGAATACTGCAGAGTGCGGCGTAAAACAACAAACAAACAAACAGACTCAGGGCTGCCGATAAAAAAATCGCCATAGAACGTATCCAAAGAGGGGAATCGCAGTCTTCTGTTGCAACACTTCTGCGTCCACCACAGCACTATTTGTCACCTTTGGGACTGATACACATAGTTCAATTCAACTGCAGACCAACTGCAGACCAAGAGTTACCACCCGTGCACAGGATTGCAACATCCGACTGTTCCACCTACGTCATCGCAATGCCACAGCAACGGACACTGCAGGATGCATCCTGGTTTGAGGAGGATATCAGACCAAACTGTCAGGAACCATCTTTGCAAGGCTGGAATCCGACCCAGAAGAGCAGTTCTCATCCCTGTTTTGCAACAGATCCATCGACAGCGACGCTTGCGTTGGTGCCATACCTAACAGCCTTAGAATGTGAGAAACTGGACACAAATGTGGTTATAAAGCGATGAATCACGATTTCTTCTTCACATAGTTCGTATCCCGGTAGACTACCTGCTTAATGCCAACATCAACGTTTTGCCCTGGCTGTCGAGATCTCAAGATCTCAACCCAATCGAATATCTCTGGGATGAACTCGTTCAACGTGTATGTCAACGTCAGAACATGCCGCAGACACTCACACAACTGGCCAACGTGTTACAAGCAGAAAGGCGCAAAATTACACAGCACAGACACAGCACAGAATTCCTACACTTATCCCTTTAGTGCCGAGGAGATGCATAACTGTAATTGCAGTCACAGGAGTTCAACGCAACCTTGAGGCCTTATGTGACATGACAATGAACAGTTTTCAATGCCTTTATACAACGACACCATGTGACTATTGAGCTCAATAATTTGACATTTGCATATATGATATTGAATTAAATATATTGACTTCATAAGATACAACAAATTTACTAAAAATCTACCTGTGCATTTCTTTTTTTTGAAGAGTGTATATATACATGTGAGTTAGAAAATCTACAATCGCATCCAGAGTTGCTGAAAAGTGATCAATGTCTCCCTGACCACCTACTCCAGGCAGCACTGTAAGCACCTTGAGGTGACATCAACATAGTGGGAAGCAGGATTGGTATTTTCACTGACATTTCCAGGAGAAGGGGGAACCAAGGTTAGCTCTGCCACGCAGGTGCGATAATCACTATCCTGGATCTCTCCCCCGATCTTTCCAAACTCCCCCAGCAGGGAAGGAAAGGCATATCATAGTCTCTCTGTCCAAGATGTCTGGAAAGTATCTGTGTGACGAGCCATTGGATCTAGTCTCCAACTTATGAAAGGTTTCATCTGATGGGTCAGACGAGATGCAAATAGGATCACTGAGAAGGGACCCATCCTCTCTTTCAGTTGGCTCAACACTGAGCTATCCAGCATCCAGTCGTGGCAATCCACTGGATTCCCAGTCTACCTGAATGTTCTCCACTCCCGGGAGATAAATTGCACATAGAGGAGATTCAGGTGTTTTTGTCCAGACAAAACTCCCCTTGCTGATTCACGTACGCGACCGCTATTTGGTTGTGTATCTGTACCTCTATGTTATTTTGACAGAGATTCTTGCAGAAAGCTAGGAGGCCCTACGAAACTGCCTTTAACTCCAGAGAATTTATGTGAAGATGGCTCTCATCCTGGCACCAACGTCCTGTGCCAGTTTGTTGGCTGACCGCCCCCAGCCCAGGTTGGACGCATCTGTCAGTATGATCAGACTGGGATGGGTTGTTAGGATCGGTTTCCCATTTAGCAATAGACACCAGATCTTTCCTGAGAATAATGTTTGTCACTTCTTCCTCTAGTAAACTCAAGCCGAAAGTCTGGGAGTTGATCTTGAAACGAGGAAGGTTATTTGCGGTGATGGGCTTAGCACTGATTGTGTCCAGTTTATGACAAAGTCAAGGTTGATCAGCAAGTATAGTATTGTATCCCTGTGATGAATTAACAGTTCTGTTGATTGCGCCAAGCTGAAAATGTCATCCAGGTAAATCACCAACCTTATCCCCAACTGTCTCGGGGAGAGGCCACAGCAGCTTGTTTGAAAGCTTGAGGAGCTGGGGAAGTCCAACTGAAGGGTTACGAAATGGAAGAGAGGTCCTCCACCTAAAGCGTTGTAAGTTCTTGATATCTGTAGAAATGGGGACTGTAAAGTAAGCGTCCTTCACATCCAACTTGCACATAAAGTCGTTTTGTCTTATCAGGTCCTTACCAGTGGTTTCAGATTGATAATTGGTCTGTAGTCACCGTCCCTCTTTGGAGCGATGTGAGGAACTTTGAATTTGTGTCTGGTTGGTCATGTCTATGACTCCTCTACGACACTGTTGTCCAATATGGCCTGAACCTCCTTGTCTAATTCCAATTGCTCTTTTACAGCAAGTTTGATATTTTGGGGCAGTGTGATCTGAAAAGGAGTCGAAATCAATGAGAATCTGAACCTGTTTAACAGTCTCGAGAAACCTAGGGTTTGACGTAATCATCTGCCGATTGATTACAAATGCTCTTAGTCTGCCCCAATGGAAGTCTAGAAAATTCAGATCCTGAAGCAGTTTGAGAGGTTGTAGCTCTTGCAGGGACAGCATTTGGGTTACCACTATGCTGGGCTCTAAACAAACTACGAAACCTCGGTCACAATTTATCCAAGGCCGCTACAATAAACTTTACAAGCACCATACAATTGTCATATTCCACTTGCACAAACTCATCTTAGTGCAACTGCAAGATGACTCGGATTTAAGATCAAGATCTTAGCTAAGATTGAAATCTTCAACGGTGGACGTACGAATGTTTTAAACTCGGACTCCTGTCATAAGTTCA